GACCCCTCCTTTGTAATTTGAATAAAACGTCCCCCGCCCAGCCAGTCGCCTTAACCCTCCGCCTCCCCTCTCCCCGGCTGCAGGCGGCGTGAGCGCAGGAGGAGCAGGGTCTCCGGGCGCGGCTGGACTCCGCGCGGCTCCCCGAGGGTCCGGCGTCCCGGCGTGCCGGGCGCGCAGCGATGAGGGCGCGGCCGCTGGTCTGCGAGGCGCTGCTCCTCGCCCTGGCCCTGCAGACCGGCGTGTGCTATGGCATCAAGTGGCTGTAAGTAGGAGCTCTGCGTCTCCACGTCGGGCCCCGGGACGGGCGGCTGGGGCGGCGGAGTTAGGGGGACCCCTGGCCCAGGAACTGGCGAGCACGTCCAGGAGCCGGGGCTGAATTTGGCGTGGGGGTGGTAGGCAAGTCGTCCTTCCTAAGCCTCCCTTTCCTCCTCTGTGAAATGGGGATGGTCGCCCTAGCCCCCAGGGCGGTGGGGCTGGGGTGACAAACAGGAGGGAGCCAGGCTGTTGTGGAGCTGTAAACAGACCCTCTAGGGGTGCACAGCCCAGAGTGTTTGCGACCAGGTATTGTGCTTGCTCTGACCCCAGCAGGAGGTCCTCAGACACAGTCCTGACCCCTTCATTTGGGTGACCTTGGGGACGTCACGTTCCCTCCTCCTCCTCCGTCAAAGGAGGGTAGGATACACCCGTCAGATCAGATGAGGAGAGGCTCATGAAAGAACGTCATAAACGGGCATGTGCTGTGCACATGTGATGGGTCTGCCTGCAGATATAAATTATTAATGGAGGAATTGGTGGGAGAGCGCTCCCTTCGGCGCTGCAGGAGGGAGCGCCTGCCCCATTGGGGGTCGTGGCTGGTGCCTAGGGAGAGAGGAGTGGGGAGTAAATCCAGCCCCTTCCTGGAGGAAGGTTGGAGAGATAAGCCCAGGCCGTAAATAACTCTGAGCTGGGCAGAAGTGTCCAGGGGCCTTCGAAGAGACCAGAGCGGTGGTGGGGGTCCAGAGGAGGGGGAGACCACCTTGTGGGGGGCCTAGATTTCAGGCTCAGAGGAGACTTTCAAAGTGGAAGTAACTCTAGGCTGGGCCTAAGAAATTGCTTTAAGCTTGGCAGCCTGGACAGTGTCAGGAAGAGGGTACTGTGAGGTGTGGGGGTGGGGGTAGGGGTGGGGGCGGGCGGGGTGGGGTGGGGGCCGGAACTCCTGGAGCAATGGCCAGGACAGGGCAAGGTCTGGCACTTGGGGTGGGGGCAGGGAGCGGCACAGATAAACTGGAGGGAACACATGAGGGGGGACTGGAAGGGTCAGTGGACTGGGATTAATTGGAAGATGAGCTGGGTCAGGGCTGGGCAGCCAGCAAACAGTCTCAAGGTCATCAGTCCTGCTGGGGCTGAGTTATCGATTAATTGGGGATTCAAGAGGGGGACCCCGTCTTACAGTTTCTGGTTTGTCAGGAGAAAGCCTGGACTCTGTGGTCTCCCAGCCCTCGGCACCAGCTTTCCCCAACTCTCTGAGAAGCTTTGTGGGGAAGTTTAAGGCCTCCTCTCCCCTGCCACCGTTGTACAGATGAAAACCCCAAGGGAGGCTTGGGATTTTCTGAAGAACCCAGGGAATGTCAGGGCCAGAGAATCAGGTTTGGGTGGCACTGTCTGCTCCGGGGAGCACTGCTGTTACGGAGACTCTGAGAAGTGCGTGTGACTCCTTCCAGCTCCCCAAATTAGCATGTGTGGGAGAGGTCCTAGAGTAGATGACTGGCTAACCCCCACCCTCACACACCACTCCTCACGCTGCTCCAGAACTGGGGACAACTACAGAAGCCCCTGCCCTAAAGAGGCTCACAGCCTCTTGAGGGATGTCTGACATGTAAACACCACAAGTGAGACCCCAGAGTGGAAGTAGTTAACCTGTCCGAAAAGCATCAGCAAAGACTATGGGGAGAGGACTTTGGGCCTGGGGCTTTGAAGGATGAGTAGGAGTTGTGTAGACAGCAGTGAGCTGCAAAGCAGACATAACACCTGAAGAAATAACTTGAGTAAAAGTTGTAGCGTCCGGACAGTGTATTAGAGGAAATTTGGAGAGTCCAGGACCTTGTTGAGTGGTGAATGGCCAGAGGGAGGGGCCCTCAATAGACCTCCAGGTCAGGGGATGGAGGCCCAGAAAGAGGCTGTAGCTAAGTCCTAGGCCCCTGCACCCTCGCCCCTGCCTTTTAGGCAGCAAGGTGGGGTATGGAAAGCCCAAAGGGAGACAGGCAGGGAACAGGCAAAGGTCTAACTTGGAGCCTGGGCTTGGGGAGCAGGGTCTCCTCTGACTTCATGGCCATCCCAATCTGGGACCAGCTGAGGCAGAACCACACGGCTTCCCAGGGCCCCGGTGTCGGGGGCCCTTAAATCCCTCCCCAAGAAGGGTACGCCTCACCTGGAAGCTCCCCTTTGCCAGTAGAAGCGCAAATGGTCTGTCTCCCTGAGCAGTAGTGCGTGGGCTGAGACCACATGGGAGAGGAAGTGGGGGACAGACGGTCTGAGACCACATGGGAGAGGAAGTGGGGGACAGACGGTCGGTCGTCGGAGGCCTCCCTCGGGACAGCTCTGCTGTGGCTTCACTGGCACCAAGTGAACTGCTGATAGCACCCCCCACGGTGCTTTACAGCAAGATTCCTGAAAGGCCTGGCCTCCCTCACACTCCACGCCTGACAGTTGCACCTTCAAGCTAGAAATCTTTATACAGCTCACTCCTGATTCTAGGGAGAGAAAAGGCTGTGGAGGCCAGGCCTCAGAAGGAGGTGCTTCTAGGAAGGTGACCTTACCTGGGCCAGGTACCCTTGTACTGATGCTAATGACTTGTCCAGGGAACTGGCCCAGGAACAAAGGCTGGAGGACTCGGAGGAGCTGCAGTAAGACAGGCTGGAATGGCCGTGCCCCGCCAATGGGGGGTGGGGAGGTCGGGGTGATGTGAGAGGCTTCTTGGAGGAGGACCACCCAGGTGTGGAGATGGGCTGGGGGTCTCAGGAAGAGAGAGAGGGGTTGAGGATGATGGCTCACAATGGGTGGCTGCCCAAGCCAGTCCTCAAGCTGGTATGACCCTAATATGTCCTTGCCAGTGGAGGCTGCGCGTGGGTGGCGGGCATGAGACACGACAGATGGAGAAACTGAGGCACCGGGAGGGGCTGTGACTTGCCCAAAGCCACTGAGTGAGTGAGGGATCCAAGCAGAGTTGGAACCCAGGTCTCATGCCCCAGCCCCTAGCCAGTCCCGGGAGACCCCCAACCCTGGAATGAGAGACGTCCTTGGTGCCCCAGCCTCCCCCACAGACCCCTGGCACAGGCCTCGCCTGTGAACTCTCTCTCCCTCTGTTCTTCTTCTGTCCCTTCTTCACCCTCTCCCCCCTGCCCCCACCCCCAGATAAACCAAAATGTTTTCAATTAGGGGGTCTGCTGAAGTGAGGCAGGCCCGGCAAGATGTCCAGACGGGCAACTCCCCAGCTCAAATCCTTGATTACCTCCCCAAGGGGGGCTTAGTTAGAAACGGTCATTACCACTAATTACCAGATGACTGAGTGGCCCTCCTCCCAGTGGAATGCTGCTGCACAGTCTCCTGCAAGCACCCTGCTCCCTTGCTGGCTGCTGGTGGCTCAGTTCATGGCTGGGGCATCCCCACGCTGCCCCCCCAGCAAGTCCCTGGTTTCTGCACCCGCCTCTTCAGCCCACCAGGGGTCTCCCCAGTAACTTCCTGTTTGCCCTCTTTGCCCTGGGGAAGCCTGTCAGTCACACCAGTGTCTCTTGACAGCGATGGAGGAGCAGGGACTCCAGGAGGGCCCCCTAGCCGCTGAGAGCAGAGCCCTGCTCCAGTCCTTGCCGGGACAGGGGTGGGGTGGGGGGTAACCTCAGGGGAAGGTTGGAGGGTACTTTCCCAGTTCTTGGTGGGAGGAGGAACAGAGAGGAAAGTGGAGAAAGTAGCTCCTTTGTCTAAGTACCCCTGGGGGAGCTTGGTCCTGGGCATTTGGGGGCTGTTGTTTCATTAGCTGCATCTCAGAATCCTTTCCATTTGACAGCAGAGAAAATAGGCTGGGGGGTGGGAAGGGAAGGGGAGGGAAGGAGGTTGGGCAAGGGTGGGAGGCAGAGCAGGCTCAGGACAGACTAGGTGTTGATGACCCCAACCCAGTGCTCAACAGAGAGGGCGCCCAAAGGACAGGAGCAGCCAGCCCTTGAGCTCCAGGGGGAGGCCAGCTCTAGCCAGGCCTCAGGACCCACCTTTGTACAAAGGACATGTCATGATGTCCTCCAGGCCAGCACCTCTGGGCCTTTTGAGAGAGGCTGCAATTCCTGTTGGGTAGTTACTCTCGACTGTGTGTGTGTGTGTGTGTGTCTACAAGTACTGCTGGGTGGAGGTGCCAAACACTGCTATGGAGTCAGTACTGACTCAGCGGCCCCCTGTGGGTTTCTAAGACTGCAACTGTGGATGGGAGTAGAAAGCCCAGTCTTTCTCCCATGGACTTTCTGGTGGTCTGAATTGGCCACTATTTGGATCACAGCCCCACTTGTAACCACTACCCGACCTGGACTCCTTTTTGGGTGGACGAGCTGGGGCTGTTAAAAACCAAGAATCCCCCTGAGGTGGAGACTGCCTTTGTGTGGCCACTCTTCACCCACAGGAGGGTCCCGGACCCCAGTGTAGGCAGTCTCCGGTCCAAAAGCCAGCAAGCACAGGCAGAGTTGGGTTGGTGCTTTTCCCTGTGCTGGGTCCTGGGGCCACATGTCCCAGACCTGCCTCTTCGCATGGTCTAGGGAGGGGAGGCTGGGTCACGGCTCACCATGAGGGAAGGACCACTCAGGATGCCCACAATCGTCGCAGATGAGCAGGGTTGGGCAGTCCTCACTTCAGGCACCAGCCCCAGCCTGTTCCCTGCATCTCTGGGAAGGTTTCTATTTGGGTGGCTTTAGGGTAGGCAGGGCAGGGCAGAGAGCCAGAGGCAGAAGGAAGTAAATTAGCCTCGAGACTCAAAATGAACCCCACTGCCATTGAATCGATTTCGACTCGTGCTGAGCCAATGAGCAGAGTAGAGCTGCCTCTGTAGGTTTCTGAGAATGTAACTCTTTTCAGGAGCAGAAAACCTCATCTTTCTCCCGTGCAGCAGCTGGTGGGTTAGAATTGCTGGTTTTGTGGAATTAGCAGCCAAGGCATAACCAACCCACTATCCCACCAGGGGGGACCTTAGGCACCATTTAATAGAACCTGTACTATCACATTCAGCCCTGACAAGACCCTGACAGCACAGGGAATCCCCCATTTGTAGCCAATGCTCAGACGGGCAACCCTGTACCCAAGATTACACAGTGCCTAGAGGGCAAAGCTTGAGCTAGAACTCCACTATCTTCTGACTCCCTCTGGTCTGGTCCAGGATTTGCCTAGCACAGGGGCGGGGAAACCTACCTATGAATGTTCCAGGTGCTTTACATGTGTTCTCAAAGGCTCGCTGTAGCCTTCTGAAGTAGAGCTAAGCATCTCCCTGTCATAGGCGAGGACCCCGGGGCCCAATGGGGTTGGGATAACTGATCAAGATCACACAGCGTGAGCACTAAGCCCAAGCCCTTCCCTGGAATGCAAACTGGGACACGGCTTTGTACCTGGTCATGGGTCTCTCTCTCCAGCCCTTGGAGCAGGGGCTCGCTGAGGAAGGGGGGAGCTGCATCATGCTCCTTGCCAGATGAGCCTGGGAGAGCAGGTGCTTAGGAGAAACGGTCCACAGTGGATCAAGGCCACACACTCAGGCGGTGATTGCAGTCAAGGGAAAAGCTCTCTGCATTAGGAAGATGCTCCAGGCTTCGTGGGGGGTGAAGGCAGGGAGAGTCTGGCCTACCCTATCTCTGCAGTGCCTGTTCCGTAGCAGCCCTGGGCTGTCTCCTGCTGGGCTCCCCACCTCCCGGCTGTCAGCCCTGGACCTGGGTGAGGACAGCTGTCACCACACAGGAGTGTCACTCGGTCCTTGTGGCTGCAGATTAGTCTCCTCTCGACCCACCCTGTTCCCCAAAGGATCTTTGCTGGATTGCCCTGGGCATCCCTGATGCTAAGGATGGGGGGCTGAGGGTGAGTGCATGTGGAGTCCTTTCAGGGCTGTGGGTCCCCGTAACTCGTACTGCCCAATGAGGCTGTTTCTCAGACAAGCCCTGGAGGAAGATAGTCCTAGAATGGAGCCCCGATCCGAGCAGAGCCCAAGTCTGGGAAGCCTTTGGGTTCCATATCATCACCAGGGACCATAAAAAACACCCCAACCTCCACCAGCCATGCCTGAAGAGGGAGTGAGGTTGGCTTTCTTCAAAGGCTCATCATTTGTACTCCTCTCCAAGGGGGGATATGTCCATGCTGTTCCCCAGGGAAGCCTCTTGTTTTAATATCGCACCGGAGCCTCTTATGGGGAATACAGCTTACAGGTATAGGCGCTGAGGCCCAGAGACAGGCAGTGGTTTTCTAAGATCACACAGAAAGTTATTGGCAGAGTCTATCCAATCACAACATTGATAACTATTAGGATGTATATAGGACTTTATGACCTAAGAAGTGGGTTCAGCAGTAAAATGAAAATACATGGGTCTAATAGTTCAGTGAAACAGCCATGAGGTCTTTTAGCTCAAGCTTCGGCGCCTAGTAAGTAAAGAGCATGTATGCGGATGATTACAACAGTCCCGCATTGAACACGGTGCCCGGCACACAGTAGGTGTGGAATGAATGACGTTTGTGATTCCAACTCGAGCTGCGTGACCATCGAGGGGAGGGGTGAGTTGTCTGTGCACTTTACAAGTATTAACTGTGAGCACCAACTCAGCTCAACCCACTGCCGGCCAGTCGATCCCTTTGGTCGCATAGTGGGCGGCTGACCATAAGGTCGCTGGTTCAAACCCACCAGAGGAGCAGGAGAAAGACGAGAAACCCGCAGGGGCCATTCTACCATCACCTATAGGGTTAGTGATCAGCATGGGAGAGTGCTCAAGTCGCAGGGGAAGCCGAGACACTGCCCACGCTGACGCTTTGCCTTCTGGGGGTTCCTGGCTGTCTCCTGGTGGAGTCCCCCAGCCCCTCAAACCACTCTGGAGAAGGCTGGGAGCAGTAGGGTTGGGGGAGGCAACACCAGCTCTCATGGCCCTCTGTCTGTCCTCAGGGCGCTGTCCAAGACGCCCGCGGCCCTGGCGCTGAACCAGACGCAGCACTGCAAACAGCTGGAGGGCCTGGTGTCCGCACAGGTGCAGCTGTGCCGCAGCAACCTGGAGCTCATGCACACCATCGTGCACGCTGCCCGGGAGGTCGTGAAGGCCTGCCGCAGGGCCTTCGCTGACATGCGCTGGAACTGTTCCTCCATCGAGCTCGCCCCCAACTACCTGCTAGACCTGGAGAGAGGTACAGGAGTGCACACTGGCTGGGATGGGGAAAGACTGGACGGATGGATGGATGGATGAATGGATGGATGGAGGGATGGATTGATGACGAATTGATAGAATGCAGGTATTCATTATGAATAATGAATGAATAGACTTGTGGATGAATATGCATGTAACGTGGCCCTACACAGTGCAGGAGCAGGGCGGGGCAGGGGCGGGCAGGAGTGCCACACTGTGGGTGTGAGACCGTGCCCGGGAGAATGGGAGCCATGTGAGAGAGGCTGCTGGCTTGTGGGAGTGAGTGTGAGTTGGTGAGTGTGCTTGTTGTGGGAGACTGTGTGTGTGTGTGTGTGTGTGTGTGTGTGGCAGGGCATGGCTCTATTGCTGTTCTTTGCATGATATGGTCACAGCCCCTGCCCAGTGCCCACCCTGACTCCATACTTAGCCCCACACAGGCCAGGGCAGAGGCAGGGGGGATCCGAGGTGGGGGGCACGGTGAGCCTGAACCCCCTGCCCCACAGGGACCCGGGAGTCGGCCTTCGTGTATGCACTGTCGGCCGCCGCCATCAGCCACGCCATCGCCCGGGCCTGCACCTCTGGCGACCTGCCCGGCTGCTCCTGCGGCCCTGTCCCAGGTGAGCCACCCGGGCCCGGGAACCGCTGGGGAGGATGTGCGGACAACCTCAGCTACGGGCTCCTCATGGGGGCCAAGTTTTCCGATGCTCCTATGAAGGTGAAAAAAACAGGATCCCAAGCCAATAAACTGATGCGTCTACACAACAGTGAAGTGGGGAGACAGGTAACCACCCACCCCCCCTCGGCCAGACCAGGGCCACCCAGTGTGCACTGATGGAGGGGGCGGGGGGACGGGCCCCAGATGGACAGATTGACCCCTGTCCCAGCTGCTCCCCGCCTCCCTCAGCTCCTGGGTGGGTGGGGGAGGGACGCACAACGTTGGCAGAGCAGAAGCAGCTGAAGCTCTGAGTTCTGCCCCCGACTCTGGCTCTAACTTGCTGTGTGATGCTGGACGAGCCACTCCCTCTCTGGCCTCAGCTGTAAGTGGTGGGATGATGGGATGCTCCCCTGAGCCCCTCTACTGGGACCCTTGGGCTCTTCTTTGGGAGCTCTGCGCCAGGGGCAGGTGTAGAGGAGGTGTGGAGAGGACTGGGGGGCCACAGCGTCTTAAATAAGGAGTTGTCTCCTGGGGTTTCTCAGGGGCTTCTCCCCAGCCTCCAGCCCACCCAGCGTCAAAAGCAGTGTCTCCCAACATCAACCATCATTCATCCCTCACCTCATCGCACGAAAGCCCGGAGGAGAATGAGGGCCTAAGTGAATCACTGGGTCTTTTAAGCGCTTGAAAATGCAAACAAAACCAGGCACCTAATTACTGTCCCTTCCAGTGGCCCACAGATTGGCCTGGATGGCAGGTGGGAGTGGGGGTGGGGTATCACTACCAGCAGCTTGGGCTGCCCGGCTAGTGTGGCATTCACTCACCCGTCCTTGCAGCCCTGCAGCCCTGCTCTGCCATGTCACAGAGGCATAAGGCGTGTCACAAGGAGCCTGTCCACTCGGCCTAGGTCACACAGACAAGATGGAGCCCGGGTCTGTGGGACCCCAGGCCCTGAGACCTCCATGCCCTCACCTCCTCCTCCCACTGGCCTCCCTCATGGGAGGGTCCTAGCATGTCCAGGCCAGCCAGCCTTGGCAGTTGGGGAACCTGAGGCTAAGTCATACTGTGGGCCTGTAACAAACCTGCCTGAGGACCCAGAACCTCTGCCCCCACCCCCACCCCCATCGGCTCTGGCACCTGCACCCAGAGCTGGGGGACTCAGAAGAACCCCTTCTGCAGCCCAAGAACCAGCCCCACAGCCTCCCTCTCAGTGCAGTTCACAGAGCGCCCTCAGCATCCGGGACCACCCATCAACAACATGGGTGCAGCCCCCCTCCCTCCAGCTGCAGGGCCTGTATGGTGGGCCTCAGGAAGCCCCCACTTCCCATCTTCTGCTGAGGCTGAGCAGAGTTGACCTGTCCTTTGACTCAAAGCCCCTCCCTGTTCCAGGAGGGTGGGCAGCCTCTGCTGCCAAGCTGTGCCCAGCACATGCCAGGTTTTACACCCAGGTGGGCTCCCTCAGTCCCCTCTTCCTGGCACTGTGGGGGCTCACACCCTGGCCGCATCCCCTCTCTCTGTGCCTCAGTTTCCTCACCTCTTGGATGCGGGGGGTGGACACAAATGACCTGGGAGTGTTGCAGCTCCTCACACAAGCCAGCCGAACAGAGGCCCGAAGCCCCCCAGCCTCCTCTCGGCGGCCCTGTGTGAGGGAGTCCAACACCCCCTGGGGTTTCCTTCTGCAGCTGTGACTCTCCAGGGGGCGGGCAGCCTCAACTTTCACCCACACGTAGCCGCTGTGTCCCCAGGACAGGGAAAAGGAGGCGTTAAAAGGCAGAATTGGAAAAACCTTTGAAGGCATCGAGCCCTGTGCTCCTTGGGTACAGGTGGGGAAACTGAGGCCCTAGAAGCCAGTGGGCAGAGTCACTTCCAAACCAGAGCCTCACCAAGCCTGATCCAAGCCTCCTCTTGCTCCACCCCAATTACTATTTAAACAGATTATTTTAAAACAAAAACCAAAAAACGAATGCCAGTTTCACTTTCGTCGTTCACACAAGCCCTTCCTGTGTCTTCTCCTTTAACCCACACAACAGCTCTGCACGGTAGGGAGGCTGGGCCCATTTTGCACGTAAGAAAACAGAGGCACCAGTGCTGAAGCGGCTTGTTAGGGGTCACCGGCAGGAGGAGAGGCAAGCCGGCCAGGTGCCCTCACCCCAGGCACTCACTTCTACCCACTCTCCCCCTGCCCCTCTCCCCAGCCCCGCCCCCAAACAGGTGTTTAATAAGCCCCATTCCTGTTGGAGAAAACATGGAGCAGTTAACGCTCTGGCCTGGGTTCCAGTCCCAGCTCTGTGAGTCTCTAGCTGTGCGGCCTTGGGCACGTGGCTGAGCCTCTCTGAGCCCATTTCCTCTTTGTGGAATGGGGGGACTAATGACCCCTCCCTGGGAAGACGGACCCGTTACATGCTTGGTGCTGTCACGTGGCAGAGCATCATCACTCGGGAGATAGTAGGGTGGCACCTGCCACCCCTGCACATGCCAGTGTCTTCTGCCCGCCTCTCTCAGCTGCCCCCGGGTTGGAGGAGGAACAGTAGGCCCACACCACTGCGCAGCCTTAGAGTCAACAGGCTCAGTCACTTGAGGCCAAGAGGGGGTGGTGAGCCCCGAGGGCACCCAGCTACCAGGGCCAGGGTCCCGGGCGGGCCAGGGTGGAGCTCTGGCTGCCCAGCCCGACGCCCTACCCTGTCTGCAGGCTCTCCGTGCCTCCCTGGAAGTGAAGTGTAAGTGCCACGGGGTGTCTGGTTCCTGCTCCATCCGCACCTGCTGGAAGGGGCTGCAGGAGCTGCGGGATGTGGCCTCTGACCTCAAGACCCGCTACCTGTCGGCCACCAAGGTAGTGCACCGACCCATGGGCACCCGCAAGCACCTGGTGCCCAAAGACCTGGATATCCGGCCTGTGAAGGACTGGGAGCTGGTCTACCTGCAGAGCTCGCCCGACTTCTGCATGAAGAATGAGAAGGTGGGCTCCCACGGCACCCAGGACAGGTAAGATCGTGTGCGCAGCCGGCCTCCACTGGCGTTTGGGGTACGGTACAGACCCCTGCCCGTCTGAGGGAGGTGGGCCCCTGACGGGGGAAACGGAGAGGGGAAGAAGCCGTGACTCATCTGGAGCTGGAAATGAATGAGCATTCGTCGAAGGGTGCTGGATGCAGAGACCCATCGAGGCAGCAGGGGCTGGAGTCAGGGCAGGCTTTCCCAGAAGAGGGGGTTTTGAGGTGGGTGGGCTGTGGAGTCCAGAGAAGGGTTCACCTGCTCACACGGAGGGTAAAGACATGCCAGGCTGAGGGGCTGGGGCATGTAGTGGCCCCACACTGGGCACCAGGTGCCCTCAGGCCTCATGGACAAGAGCATACGCGAGACCCTGGGACTCCTCTAGGGCAGGGACATCTTCCCAATGGCCTGTGGACTCAGCATTTCCCAGGCCACGTCCTGACCCTCACCCGGCTGTCCCACGGACCGCTGCTGGCTGCCACGGCTCCCCAGTCAGTGTCTAAAAGACATCTCAGTTTTCAAAGATACAATTTAGGGAGCATCTGGAGCTGCTAACATTTTCTGAAATGTTAGTCTGCCCTCCTGCTTCCTCTCCTCAAGAATCCCCCAGGGGCTCCCTGCTGCCTGCAGGTCCTGGTTTGCCCACCAGCCACCCCTGCCCACCAGCTGAGCCCTGTGCCCACCTCCTGCAGGCCCTGCCCTGTCATACTGTCCTTTCCTTCTGCCAGGCTCAGCTGCAGATCACTGCCTCCTGAAGAGTCCTTGATCTGTCTTGGGGTCTGCCTTGGGCTTTTACCCTTGCCAGGGGCGGCCTCTTTCCCTCTGGGGAACCCCCTTCCCATCTCCTCTCCCCTGCAGTGATGTGATGGAGAGGGCGTCCTAGCCCCCAGGGTGAGTGTGCCAGTGCTGCTGGGTGGGCCTGGAGTGGCAGCGGCTTCCAGTCTATGGGGCCCACAAAGCCTGGCCAGCGGGGACCCTCTGCGCAGGACTCCTGATGCTGGCCCCAACAGAGCGCATGCTCAGTGAGCAAATGAAGGCTGGAGAAACGTCCTACAACCCTCTCGCTGGACCAATGAGGACAAGGGGAGGTGGGGCCAGTGCCAGCTCGAGGCCCCCGGAAGTCTGCACCTTGCTCACACCCTGTTCCTCAGAGGCACAACCTTTGAGCAGAGTCAGTTGGGCTGGCTGGCATTCTCCCCAGGGGGGTCTCCTGCAGACCCCAGGGCCCCGATAGATGCCAATTCATCATGGGGCAGCCCCTCGAGGGAGCCCATGAGCCCCGAAGGGCCAGGGCTGGATTTCCCAGAGAGGAGTCTGCAGGAGGCTAGCTAGCCCTGCGCTGCTATAATACACAGAGTTCTGCTTTCAGATACACCTGGGACGTCCTCTCTGGCGATTCACATAACCTGTGCCAGGCCCAGAGGACCCCATGGGAAGGCTCTAGCTAAGTCAGTGTTTCCCAAAGGTGTTTGCCTGTGGGACTCTTTTATTAAGGGCCCCCTAATAGCATTCCACAATGTGAGCGTTCTGCAGGGTTGAAAGAATATTGAACCAGAGCAAGGGTGTCTGAGAACGTGTTTGGCACATAGTTGGTGCCCAGCCAGCATTTGCTTCCTCCGTAGCCCACAGCCCTGTCTCCAGGAGAAGGAGGGCTGATCTTGGGCTCGCTCCTCACAGCCAGGGCTCAGAGGAGGCTCCGGCTCCCATCTGGAGGCCAGATTGAGGGATCGGGTGGGCCTGAGTGAAGATGGAGCCAGGTCAGACTTGTGAGGCAGCCAGGGTGGGGGCCTGGAACCCAGGGGGCTGGGACAGCACTCTGAGTACCCAGAGCAAACAGAGGGTCTTCCTGGATCCAGTGAGAGGGCTGTGTATGAGTATGTTGTCAGCTCAGACCCTGATGTGGCAGCTCCCCTCATCGGAGGCTGTTTCACCTCCAGAGGGTGGGGACCATACATACATACCCCTCATAGGATCAGTGGATAATATATAGTCACAGGTGCCCAGAATCGCCAGGGTTAGTCACACCTCCCCAGCAGCCCCCGCTGTTAGAAAGAAAGATGAGCAGTTAGAACCCTCCAGCAGTGAGTGACTTGCTTCCAGAAAGCCTGCACTAAGAAAACTCTGTCTCGGGGGGTGGGGGTGGGGTGGGGGGGAGGGGGAGTGGCCACACATTGAAATTGACTTGAGGGCCCCCAATGACACCACCCTGAGAGCAGCTGATTATCGAAGATGCCCAAAAGATCCAGGTGTAAAGGTAGACCCTTCCCAGGGAACCTGAGTCTAGGCCCCTGGCCGTTGGATGAGCAGGTTGAGCGAAGCCAGGCTCACCATCGCCCCGCCTGCCCCCACCCCCACCCTCGCAGGCAGTGCAACAAGACTTCCAACGGCAGTGACAGCTGCGACCTCATGTGCTGTGGGCGTGGCTACAACCCCTACACGGACCGCGTGGTCGAGCGGTGCCACTGCAAGTACCACTGGTGCTGCTACGTCACCTGTCGCAAGTGCGAGCGCACCGTGGAGCGTTATGTCTGCAAGTGAGGCTGAGCTCGGAAGCCCCACCCCGGGGGGCCCTGGAGAGACTCACGTGGGCTTCACTTCTCACCCGCCCGCCCCGGGCACAGGCTGCACTCTGCCTGCACTTGGAAGCCACCAGGAAAAGAAGGCTTGGCCACCAAGGCCGGAGGGTTGGGACATCAAAGGAAACGAACAAGATTAAAAATAACTAAGCTGGCAGCAGAGGCCCGAGGGCAGGAGTGCCCACACAGCTGCCCTCCAGGCTGGTTTAAGAAGCCAGGGGCATTCGCTTGGTGAGACTGGAATGGACTTGACCTTTTGCTTCTCGTGAAGGAGCCCGCCTATCCTGGGAATGGTCTGCAGGCCTACAGCTGCTGGGGCCCCCACCCTAGCTTCTGGCTCACCCCAGCCCCCCACCACATGGAACCACTAGCTTGGGTTGTAAATTTTTTTTTTCCTTCCTCTGGGATGTGGGAATTACAGAAATATTTATAAAACATAGCTTTTTCTTTGGGGTGGCTTTGCCTCAATTCCTCTTTATATATTATATATAAATATATAAGAATATATATATATATGATGATCTATATTTCAAACAAGCTTTTTAAACAGCTGTAAGAAATAAATGCTGAAAGAACCCTTGGCCAGCCTGGCAGTTTCTGGCTCTTTAAGTGACCTCGGCAGACCCCAGGCGGGCTGAGGGGAGGACGCTCCGGTTACGGCCTGGCGGTCTCCTCTTGATGTGTCTGCCAGCCCCCACCCTGGGCTTCCTGCAAGATCTCTTGGTCGAGGGCGAGGACAGACGTCTTGAAACATAAGCCCAGCTGGCCGCTTCTTTGCTCCTCAGGGAGACACACACACACACACACACACACACACACACACACGTGCGCGCACATGCATGCACGCAGAGTCTGGTCATGCCATTCAGACTTGCATGGCAAAGACGACGCTCTGGGTCTCTCGGGAGCAGTGTTGAGGACAGGAGGGAGAGGCTGGGCCTCCTGAGACCCGGGAGGGGCTTGGTGGGGTGGACAAGTGAAGGGGACTGAGGCTTGGGCCAGTACACTTCCACAATGAGGTTGGGGTGACGAAGAGGAGCTGACCAAGGAATATGTAAGGGCCAGGAAGGTCAGGACACTAGAGAGAGGCCTGGCAGCCCAGGGAAGCCATGTCCCAGCGGCGCAGAGTCCCTGTCCCTCCCTGAGCCTCCGCCCTGTCCCCTGTTGTGAATGGAGAGTGTCCGCAGGGCCTGGCCCAGGGGCCCAGGAAATGGAAGCCACTGTCTACCCATGTCTGCAGGTGTGGGGCCATCACGCGGACAAAAGAGGAAAGAAAACTGTTTTGACTGGGTAAGCTGACACTCCTGCTGAGGGACGAGGTCTCCTCCCAGAACGCTGAGGGCAGGCATGACCTGAAGCTGGTGCCACAGTGGGCTGCTAACCACACAGTCAGAGGTTCAAACCCACAGCTGCTGCACAGGAAAAAGACCAGGCTGTCGGCTGTGAAGGTTCACAGCCTGGGGAGCCCTGCATAGCCATTCTACTCTGTCTTGCAGGGTCAGCCAGAGTTCAGATTGACTCAATGGCTGTCAGGTGGTGGCAGAGAGGGGTCTGGGCAGGATTGGCGCAGGTGAACTTGGCATTTCTGAGTGTGAGGACGGCAAAGACCAACTCCAAGGGACAGGTGGGGGCAGGAGGCTTTGCAGCTGCAGCCTCACTGTGGGCTGCTCAGAGCCGGAACGGAGACTGGAAGGGCCTCCAGGTGAGTCCCCCTTCTCCTGTCCTCCGCTGTGCAGAAAGGGAGACTTAGGTGGGAGGGCCTTACCTGGGGCCGCTGAGCTGATCACAAAGCCTGGAGGGCCATGCCCCCCCCCCCCCCCCAGCCCTGGGACAGGGCTCTCCAGATCTGTGCAGTAACCTCTTTTAAAAAAAAGTTTTATTGGCATATCATTCACAAATCATACAATGCAATGGTTTAATCATAATGCGAAGAGTTGTACAGTTGTCACCACAATCGATTATAAAGTCGTTTTTGTTCCGCTCCTCGTTGTGAGTGGCTCCCCGTCTCCCCGCAACCTCCTCTGCCACACGGCACCCCAGGAACCATCCCTCCATCCCGTCACCGTCTCTGAAGAGTACCTATCCTGGATCTCATAACCGAAAAAACGCTTTACAAAAAACCACAAAGTGAAACAGAAAAACCTCAATCAAAAAGAAAGTGGGAAATAATGAAAACATAGCATTTAAAAAAATCATTTTATTAGGGGCTCATACAACTCTTATCACAATCCATACACACATCAATTGTGTAAAGCACATTTTTACATTCATTGCCCTCATCATTCTCAAAACATTTGCTCTCCACTTGAACGCCCGGCATTAGGTCCTCATTTTTCCCCTCCCTCCCCCCTCCCCCCTCCCTCATGAGCCCTTGATAGTTTATAAATTGTTATTTTGTCATATCTTGCCCTGTCCGATGTCTCCCTTCACCCACTTTTCTGTTGTCCGTCCCCCAGGGAGGAGGTCACATATAGTTCCTTGTAAAACCATAACATTTTAAAATGGCTCAGGAGGGAGCAAGTCATAAGGGGTTAGAGATTTTTGTTTGTTTTTTAAATCATTTTACTGGGGGCTCATACAACTCTTATCACAAGGGGAATTAGATTTTAACCTAATCCCACCTGCCACCATCTACTTCCAGTGTGCTCTGCACCACCGCCCGGCTTCCACATCTCTGGGCTGTGGTCAGAGGGGGTTCACCAGAGGCTTCCCCCATGTGGACTTCCCCTTCACTTTGTTCAGCTGAAACAATGTTTAAAGGGGTCCTAACACAGCACGGTAGCCTCTCGGGGACTGTTTCCCAAGCTTCCACGAAACAGCCCCTTGAGTGTGTCCCAGGCCCACACACTGCACACACACACACACACACACACACACACACACACATTGCCTGAGGTCCCTAGGCTTCCCCTCTGCTCCAGTACTAAAGCTTGACAGCTCGGACCGCCATGCCTCCCCCATAACCCCACTCCATAAGCCCCCCTCTCCCAGCCCTTTGACCTTGGAAGCAGCTGTCTCACTGGCAGCAGCAGCGGGTTATGCGCATCACTGCCCCATGACAGCCTGGGTACATGCCCCCCCCCACACACAGCAGGCAGTGCCCCCTCTGAGGCAGAGCTGAGCAGAGGAGTGAAAGACTGCTGTCTGCGCCTGCCTCCCCACCTGCCCACGGGGCCCAGACCCAGAAGTCAGAATCCAGAGATTCCCACCGGCTATGCATCTACTGTGTGGTCTCCCAAACATGCTGTCCCAAAGCAATCTTCTTGTCCCCCCTCCTGGGAGAGTACTGTGACCATGTGTGACAGACGAAACCTGAGGAAAGGTGTCTTGCCTGGATCTCAGGCAGTTCCTAGGCAGAGCAGGCCCTGAGCCCCAGTCTGACACCCTGCTCACTTCAGCTAGGCGTGGGGAACACTGTTTGCAGGGTGAGCGGGCAAGCATGCCTGACCCAGCTGGGCGACTCAGTGTGGGGAGGGCCACTTGCTGGTCCCTGGACACTTCTCACCCTGCCAGGCCAGGCTCTAGGAATGCAGGCAGGCAGGCAGGCAGGGCCCCCACTCAGGTGAGGCAGGCCGGACGAGAGGCAGAGCCTCTCCCAGGGTGAAATCAGAGCTGCCCAGAAGCACCTGGAATCTCACTACCTCACCGTGCTCACAGACCCAGAGCAGAATCTTGACATCCTTAGAATGAAATCCCTCAGACCATTGGAGGGGAGCCCAGGGCCACAGTCAACCCAAGGACCGGCTCCTGCCCACCACTGTGTCCTGCTCCACTCCCTCCTCCTGAGGGGCTGTCGTCCCCACTGGGCAGGGCTCTATGAGCCCGGGAGTGGCTTCCAGGGACGGACATCTGAGGGACCAAGTGTGGGAGGCGGCCCGGGGCAGAGGAAACAGGAACTTTTGAAAAGCAGACAAGATTAGCTTGGTGGGAAAGGAGAGTGTGGAGAGATAAATCTCCCTGGGGAGACCTGGCCAAGGCCAGAGGAAACGGCAAGGGGCCCGGCCCAGACCATAGCAAGTGGAGGGCTTGGGTTTGGGCTGAGCTGCCAGGTTACACAGACCAGGGCTCTGGCAGGATGCAGGCTGGCTCTCGTCCCCGGAGGGGCTGGACTGGGGTCAGCAGGAACCCCAGGATCTATTTCACAGGCAGTCGGTGGGCCTCTGCAGTGGCTGTCTTGTTTCGTGTTTTACTGATGAGGAAACACATCAGAGAGGGCAGCAAGGGGCTCAGGACGACAGGAGGACAGTGGCAGAGGCTGAATCTGAATTTCAAACCTCATTCCAACCCTGAGCCTGCTGCCTGCATCAGATGTATTTCAACGATGGTCTCCCAGCTGATCGAGTGGCCAACTTGGAAATTGGCACATGGGCCACCCTTCCTTGGGGCGAGAGCGTCTCCACTCCCCTCCCCTCCACCCTCAGCTCCATCCTTCCTGCCCCACCGGCTGAGGCCCTCCCATGTGTCACCGAGGAAGCACTTGTGCTCCCACAGTGGCCTCCCAGCGTGAGTTACTCTCGCAGAGGCTTAGGCAGCCAGAACCCTGAGGGCTTCCAGGCCCAGGGGAGAGGAAGCTGCAGCATTTGGACTTACAGAACTGCCCCACGGGCTGTGCTAGACTCTAATCTTTATGGAGGCCCTGGGTGGGCTGGGTGGGGGTTTCTCACTGCCATCAAGTCGATGCTGACTTTGATGACCCTACAGGACAGGGTAGAACTGCCCTGTGGGTTTCTGAGACTGTAACTCTTTATGGGAGTAGAAAGCCTCGTATTTCTCCCTCAGAGGAGCCGGTGGTTTCAAACTGCTGACCTTGCAGTTAACACCCCACTGAGCCACCTGGGCTCCTGTTGGTTGGGGGTAGGAATAGAAAATCAGGAAAGCTTCGTGGAAGATATGCACTTTGCCTGGGTTCTGGAAAGCTGAGCAGGCGCTGAGAGATGGAGGTGGTGGTCCAGGGGCTTGATCTGCTCGGGTGGGAGAGGCTGAGGCACATGCAGCTGCTCAGATGACATGTGGCTGGGGCCCTAGGTGCTGGTGGACATCAGGCAGCAAAGTTAGCACGCGTAGCTGCCGCAGGCTTCAGGCTGTGAGTTTGAGCCAGGGGTCTCCGGCTGCCCCCACATGGCACCTGGCTGGTCTGTTCACAGTGGCCTGCCTGCCAGGCTGTCAAAACAGCCGTCCGCCCACCTGCAGAGACGGCCGGCTCCAGGCAGAGTGATTTAACAGCACGCAGTTAACGGGCCCCTCTGCTCCTGTAGACCGAATCAATATCCGCTCGGCTCCCCAGGCCCATGGCGGCTGCAGACATTCTGCTTACCCACCCCTGGGTCCCTGTTGCCTTACCTTTATGGGTTCAGCAGCAGGGCTGAAGGCTGGGGTGGGGGATCAAAGGTGGGGGACTGCTGGGCAGAGTAGCAGCAGGAGGAGGTGGGGTGTCATGATGGCTACCCTAGACACCCCCGTTCATCTGGAAGAGGATGGACCTTTTGGCCACAGCCGGGAGGCCCCCAGCCCCGCTCCTGCACAGAGCACAGCGGTAGCGAAGACCCAAGTGTCCGCTTTCTGTCACCACTGTTTTT